TCGGGACGGGACGGGACGGGGCGAGCCGGTCGGGTCGGGTCGGGACGGGACGGGTCGGTCACAGCAGCCCTCGGCCGCCGCTCCCACCTGCTGCACCGCTTGGGGACTCACCTGCCCGTGGAGCGGCGACCTGTTGGACTGCGGGTGTCCTGTGAGGTGGCATCACCGCCCCGCAGCGTCCCCAAAGCCACCTGCCCGCGCCGTGGGGAAAGGAAGGTGAGCTGGGCACTTGTCTTGTGCTGCAGGGCAAGCGGGCAGGGATGTGGCACCAGCGCGTGCCTGACTTGAGCACCGGAGTCGCCAGCCTTCCCCGTGTGTCTCCGGCGGCTTCTCGTCCCCGCGCTTCTCCGCAAACTGAATCAGGGCCCCGTAAATAGCAGGGTCTTATGACACAGTCTCTGCTGGGGAAGAGCTCCGGGCGCTGGGGATATTTTTAGTGCCGAGACGCTGGGGATTCAGAGAGCGGTTGGAAGGTGCAGGCAGCAAAGCCACAGCAGAGACCAGGTCACTGGGTGCCGCGTCCTCCCCGTCTCACCCTCCCACTGCCGTTGCCAGTAACTGGCTCTGCCCAAAGCGCTGCCGCCCTCACCTTGCCCTCTGCACTTCTTCCCGGGGTTATTTGTGCTCTGCTGCAACGCGAGCTCGGCCGAGCAGCCCAACCCTGCGCCTTTTCCAGGGCATTCCCAGCTTTCCCCTCCGGTGGCTTCTCCCAGCCGGAGCCGCCAGCCCTTTGCCCGTTTCTGCTGGCGCAGGGCCGGAGCTCGGGATCACTCCTCAGGGAGGCTGCAGCAGCAGGGGAGCTGAGAGCACCCTCCACGCATCCATTCTCCTGTGCACGGAGATGGCTGGAGCGCCGGGCGTGTCCCGCCAGCAGTGCTGCAGCAGCAGGATCGGGATAAGGCTCTGGGAAAAGTGTGGGGAGCAGGGCAAAGGCAGGGCCCTGGGCTCCTTCCTTCGCTAGAGAACTGGCCCGTACGCAGGGCATCCCCTCACTTAAACTCCATTAACCTTCCCCTGGCTCTTCTGCTTGGCTCCTGGACCACGTGCCAGTTAGGGGACGCATTCAGGCATTGTTCCCAGCACGCCAAAAATACGAATTTGCCTTCAGCCCGAGGTAATTCCATCCCAGAGCTGCCCCGGCGGGAGAGGACAGGGCTGGGCCGCTCTGTGTGGTGCTGGCCGAGGTGC